TGGGAGGGCAGGATGCCTTGGTAACTGCTTCCCTGACTGCTTGCACCCCCAGCGGAGGAGGACGTTGCTGCTGGTCGTGATGCCGACCCTGACGGCCAGGCCTCCTGAGCGCTCCCTGGAGACAGGAGCCGGGGCCCAGGCTCCTGGTTTGCCTCGGCTGCAGTGTGCCGGTGGTATTACCTGCAGTTTTTCCTGTGGTTTGGCTGGAGTAGAGTATTAGTGTCTAAAAGTATTCTTTGTTGTTAGGTTGCCCCTTCCTGGCTAGAAAGAGCAGGACTTCTTCTTTCTTTTTTTTTTTTTTTTTGTCTGTACCCATTTGTTTCTAGGTTACTAGATTCTCCAGTGCTCAGTCTGAGATATTCGAAGCAAAAAGAAAGACCTGGGAATCACTGCCATGTCTTCCTCTGAGTCCCAAGGCCACTAGCCTGTTTATCTCCCTCTCTGTCCTTTGAAGTCTTTTTATTTATTTATATATTTCTATCTTGGGGAAGGAAATGGCAACCCACTCCAGTATTCTTGCTTGGAGGATTCCACGTGGACAGAGGAGCCTGGCGGGCTGTAGTCCATGGAGTCGCAAAGAGCTGGACTTGACTGAGTAACTGACACGTTCACTTTCTTTCTAGTTATCTATCTATATCTCCCAGGGGGTTTAAGCTGTACTTAACAGAGGGACGGGGGAGAGGTGTGTTTATTCCATATCTGGTACTTCCCCGGTACCAGAAGTCCCCAGGGACTTATAGACTGTCTCTGCTGTCTCACCTGGTGATCAGCAGCCAACGGGGACAATGTTCGCCTGAAATAACTGTGACTCCCTCCTCCCTCGCCTCCCTGCCCGCCCCGTGGCTCTGCCTGTGTTCTGCTCTGTGATTCTGAATTCACCCTCCAGAATTTGAGATCCTTCCAGTCTGGTTTGAACAAGCATTCTCCAGTTTTCTACCACTTGCCAGTTCCTGGCCCGAGCACTCAAGAGTTCCCTTCAGCCAGAGTCCCACAAAGGCTTCTTCTTGAGGGCGGGAACTCTATCTGTGCCTCCCAGGCTGGAGACTTTATCCCCTTGCAGGGCGACTGCTGCACAGCCATGTCGCGTCTCCCTTTTTCCAGGATCAGTAATCTGGTCCTTCTGTCTCAAATGTCATGGAGTTCCTGAGAATCTCTTTTAAGTTAAGGAGAAATATTTTTGAGTTGAAGAAAATATTTTCAGTATGTTTATATTAAGACTCAAAACTAGTGAGTAATTTTTATTATTATTATTACTTTTTTTAGTGAGTAATTTTTAAAAAGCCAACTATCCAAGATGAGATTTTCAGATGTCTGGTAATATATTATCAAACTTCCTCCACTCCCCCACCGAGGCAGGAAACAGTTATTTTCTTTTCTGTTTCAGTCATTCTTAATGAATGAATGAAAAAAAAATGAATGAATGATTTTGAAATACTCACCTTAGGGAGATGCAGGAAGAGAGACTTTTGTGCAGGTGGAGTAGCAGTGATGCTTGTATTTTTTAACTTAAAACATTTTTTTTAAATTATGAAAAATTTTAGACACATGAGCAGAGAGAAGAAATGCACCTCCAGTTTAATAACTGCTATATGGTCACATTTGCTTCATATAGCCTTTGTTCTTTTTTCTCGCTTAATTATTTAAAGGAGAATCCAAGACATTACTCATTTCATAACAATATGCTTCAGAATTAGACTTTAACAAAGTGCTTGGGAGGGGGGACCGGGATGGGGAATACATGTAAATCCATGGCTAATTCATTTCATGTATGACAAAAACCACTGCAATGATGTAAAGTAATTAGCCTCCAACTAATAAAAATAAATGAAAAAAAAAAAAACAAAACAAAGTGCTCATTTCCTTTATGTAACCACAATGCTATATCACATCTAAAACAAATAGTGATAATTCTTTAGCATCATCTAGTACCCAGATTTCCCCAGTTGTCTCTCTTTTTAGTGATAAAATATCCATAACATAAAATTTACCATAGTAATCAATTTTTAAGTATATTGTTCAATATTTTTTTTTTGGCGGGGGGGAGGTTGTCATATATTTGTACAACCATCTCCAGAACACTTCATTGTGCAAAACTGAAACTCTGTACCCATTAAACAACTCTTTTTTTTTCAAATAATATTTGAAATTGCCTTTTAAGAAAATTGAAATATAGTTAATTTACAATGTTGTATTAGTTTCAAGTATAGTGAGGTGATTCAGTTTTATGTGTGTGTGTTTATTCTTTTCAGATTCTTTAAAAAACAACCCTTCATTCTCTCCTTCCCACAGGCCCTGGAAACCACCATTCTATTTTCTATCTCTAAGAACTTGGCTGGTCTAGATACCTTATATAGGTGGAATTATATACCATTTGTCTTTTTGCAACTGGCTCGTTTCACTTAGCATCATGTCCTCATATTGTAGCATGTGTCAGAATGTCATTCCTTTTAAGGATGAATACTATTCTGCTATATGTATATAACCACCTTTTGCTTATCCATTCATGTGTCAGGGGATACCTGACTTGCTTACTCATTTTAGCTATTGTGAATAATGCTCCTATGAATATGGGTGTACACATGTCTCTGATATTAGCACCCTGCTTTCAATTCATTGGGGTTTATACACAGAAGTGGAATTGCTGAATCATATGGTATTTCTATTTTTAATTTTTTTGGAAATTGGCATACCACAGCAACTGTACCATTTTATATTCCTGTCAACAGTGCACAAAGGTTCCAATTTCTCTACATCCTCATCAACTCTTGGTATTTTCTGAGTTTTTGATAGTAGCCATCCTAATGGGAATGAAATGCTATTTCATTGTGGTTTTGAATTGCATTTGCCTAATGATAGCATCTTTTCATGTATATTTTTAGTCACTTGTATATCTTCTTTGGAGAGATGTCTATTCAAGACCCGTGGTCATTTTTTTTTCAAACGTGACAGTTTTGTTGCAGCTTTTAAAACTATTTTTTAAAACTTATTTTTGGCTGTGCTGCATCTTCGATGCTGTGCGTAGGCTATTCCCTAGTTGCAGGGAGCGGGGACTCCTCTCTAGTAGCGGTGCTTGGGCTTCTCATTGCGGTGGCTTGTTGCAGAGCACAGGCTCTTGGCGCACAAGCTTCAGTAGTTACAGCTCGTGGACTCTAGGGCATGCAGGCTCAGTAGTTGTGGCGCAAAGGCCTTGCTGTCTCGTGGCGTGAGGCATCTTCCCAGACCAGGGCTCGAACCTATGTCCCCCTTCATTGGCAGGTGGGACTCCCAACCACTGCACCACCAGGGATGCCCCCTTGCTCATTTTTTAATTAGGCTGTTTTCTTTTTTTGTTGTTAAGAGTTCTCATATATTCTACATATTGTCCTCTATCACCCCAAAACATCTCTTTTTTTTTTTTAAAGTATTTATTTATTTGGCTGCTGTGCCAGGCCTTGGTTGTGGTCTGCAGGATCTTTTTTAGTTGCATCATGCAAGATTACAGCGTGCGGCATGTGGGATCTATTAATAGTTCCCTGACCAGGAATCAAACCTGGGGCTCCCTGCATTGGGAGGATGGAGCCTTAGCTCTTGATTCTGTGAAGAATCAAGCTTTTGATTCTGTCGGAACCCAGGTCCATTGTCACGTAGATTTGTAATCTTGTGTTTAATCTCTGCTGCTGCCTTCCAAAGCTTGCCTTGGATAATTGCAGCAGTGAAGTTTTCTCTTTTGAAAAGAGAGTATTTCTCTGTCAAAAGTTCTTAGAGGACTAAGCCAAAAGTGAGAAGAGGAAGCTTTCTCAGTGTCTGGGAACCCGCCTGTGGGGAGGTGGGCACTGGAGGAAGGTGGGAGGGGTGTGAGCGTCAGATGAGAGTGAGGTGAGCACACTCGGGTCACCGTCATGACCGGAGAGAACAGGGGCTTTCCCCATGATGTGACGTGTTACCCAGAAACCCCTTGCCATGACCAGGAGCAGACCAGAGATTGTCCCCCCTACCCCCACAGTCGTGGGGGTACCAGGCAGATCCCGGGGGCCCTGCTGGGACCACACTGAGACTGTGTTCCCAAGGGGCCACTAGAGAGGAAAGTCTGGCCTTGGGACTGCTCTGAACACAGGGGGCGTTTCTAGGAGTGCTGAGGGCACAGGGGCCAGGCTGGGATGCCTCCAGCATCCACAAGGCTCGGGAGCCAGGACAGGGTAACAGAGACCAGGGAGAGAAAAACTGAGGTCGCTGGTAATCTCTGGGCACTCTGAAAGATCACCGGGCTCATCTCTGAGATTAGGATTATGGGTGTTTGGTTTTTTTTTTCTTTATATTTTCCAATTTTTCTCAAGGGAACAGTAAAAAAGTGGTGCATTCTATCTAAAAACAGATCAACTCCTTTAGGATTAACATAGACATGCCCCAGGATGGCCACTCTTAACAACTGAGTTTTCCAAGGATCTGTGATCTAGAATGGGGATCTTATCCAGACTCTCCTTGGAGCCTGGAAGAGCAGCCCTGTCCCACCCACGCGCGTGGCTGATTCCCCGGAAGGCCAGGCTTGGCAGAGGCAAGCAGTGTCCCCAGCATCGGGAGCTGAGCTGCTGTTTCTAACTTTGTCTGCAGCCCTGGTGAGGCCTGGGGGGAGGAGCCCCAGCCTTCAGGAAGCCCCTGCCAGACCCACTTGAACCTCCCCAAGGGACCAGTTTTTCGTACCCGGAAGAGACTTATCCCAGGTTACTGCTTCCATACTCTTTCCAGACACAAATGAAAGCTGCTGCTCCCAAAGTAGAGACTTTATTATAAACCTAGGATACAGAAGGGGGCAATTACAAACAGAAGCCTTTCTCAGCTCTCTTTGACCTTCTCAATGAATAGAAACAGGTTTGAAAGATAACCTTTTTGAAATTGTTATGTAAAATATTCCCCAATATAAAAGGGGATAGGCACCTGGTAGCTAAGTGCCTCATGAAAATCATGCAGAGTGGGGCCTCCAGACCCTCCTGAGACCCCGAGGGAAGGTGCTTTGCCCCCAGCCCTCACTGAAGGTAGAGCAGAGAAGACATACATTTGCTTTTAGATTTAGGGCCCTGGGTTCCATCCTGGGACAGAAACCTGAGACCATGACAGTTTCTCCTTGAAGGAGAGGTGAAGAGAAAAGAACAGACAAATCTCCCAAAGACAGAAAAACAGCTGTCGCAGCTAACCTGTTGTGTGAGTTCAACAGCTCTTTTCCTTGCTCTGTGCTTCACTGAAGGTGTAAATGCTGGTACAGTGGGTCCTTTCCAGAATCTGGTTCCCGTGAAAAAGGAAAACAGGAAAAGAATACAAGAGCGCCCCATCTTGGTCCGGGGTCAGGATCCCCTTGTGGTGGGGCTATCCCACCAGCTGCTTCTGGGAGCTGCACCCAGGGAAATGTGTGCATGAAGATGCCTGTATGTATGTGCATGAGGGTGCCAGCGCATGTATCCATGTGTCTCGGCATGTGAGCCTGTATGTGTCCATGTGCCCACAAGCTTCGGGGTAGGAGGCTCTTGGGTGGTCCCTGTAAACTAGTTCCAGCAAACAATTTGGTAAGGCAGTTAAGCAACAGAAGATTGGTGGGAAAGTTCTCTCTGTGAGTGTGCCCAGGAAAGAAAGACTTCCTGCCCACACCACCATGATGACCTAGCCCGAGAAACCAAACTTGATGGAGAGGCCAGAAGTCAGGATCCTGCATCATGCAGGGCAGAGCTGAGAACCACAGGCACTCAACACGTGGAAGTGAAAGGCAGCCCCAGAAGCGCAGGCCAGACTCTTGGGGACTTACCACATTGAAGGTGGGCAGAGGCTGCGAGGAGTCAAAAAGGCAGATGAGAGGTGGACCCTTGAGGGATCAGGCTCAATGCAGGACCTCCCTATGCTGGGCCAGCCTGCTTCGCCATCTGTCCCCTGGTGCAGGGGGAAGTGGGGTGTGAGGTGTGGGGCCCCGGAGCACTGTGGAAGCAGATGCGCAGCAGCATCCTGGTCCCAGTAGTGGCCAGCTGGCTCTCAACCAGGAGACTCAAAACAGTGCTTCACCATTTCCCACAATGATTCAAACACAGCAACTGCCTGTTCCCCCCACCCTGCTTAGTTCTCAGGCAGAGAAACTGAGGCCCAAGACGGATGGAGGGGTCAGAACTGGCGCTTCTGGTCTTCCGCTGAGCCCTAGCTGCCTCGGGTTTCCACCATCCTGGCTGATGATCCAGCAAGTGGGCGTGCCAAATGTTCTATGCAGGACATGAGAGGTGCTGTCCAGATATGGACCATGGCTGCAGCTGTGTCCGTGGAGCAGGCATGTCCAGGGATCGAGAAGCCAGCGGAGCACAGATCCCCCTACAACCGCAGGTGGAGGCAGGGGTAGAAGGACATGTACAGGCACACAGAGGCACGCACTCCCAGGGGCTAGGGCAGTTCAGGGCATGGACAGGGCCTTGGCGAGGCGAGTCCAGAACCAGTTCTGGGTGCAGGGGTTGGTATAGTCACAGACTGTGATGAAGCGCAGGATGCTGGGGAACTCTTTCTTCATCGGCTTGTACTTGATGGGGATCAGTCGCTTCTGGTGGGCACCTGTAAGCCAGAGGGGGCAGAGCTTGCTCCAGGATCCCCGCCATCACGGGGCTGGACCAGTCCTCCAGTCAGGGGTTAACAACAGCCCTTTCCCAATAAGCACCCCTGGTGCCTATGCACCCACACAAAGGGCACTCTTGTCCACACGTACTTAGGTGTGCAGAGACCTGCCTGAGTTCCCTGATGCTACATCCATGGCCCTTGGGGAGGGACAGCTGGCATCTAGAGGCCCTGCCCACTGCTCTGTGGCAAGGGCAGGGCTGAGCTCACCTGGAGAGAGGCTAAGTGCAAACTTAGTCTGGAAGTCACATTCCTTGCTTTGCAGGTATTCGTCGGAGACAACCACCACCATCCGACGGCACCTAGGGGAGAGTGGGCAGGCTACAGGCACTGTGGTGACCCACCCGGAGACAGCCTTGGAGGATCCCACTGTGCCAGGCCAGACAGGGGCCGGCCAGGAGGACCCCAGCATGGAGATCCCTAGCAGGGCTTTGCACACCCACCCACTTGCCCCGCAGCCACACAGCCAACCTCTTCTCAATGAGTTCACTGGCGATGGACCAGACACAGGTGCCAGGCAGGACGTCACGGTCAGACACACACAACTTCAGCCGATAGTTTGTCTGTTCCAGCTGCCGGATCATCTCGTGGACAAACTCAATATCGCTGGGGCAGTAGCAGATGAAGGCATCAAAACACTCGGGCTTTTGCCCTGGGTGCGGAGCACAATGGGGATGGTCAGAGCCCTCCAGGAATGCTGGGGATGAACCGAGCCAGGTACCCCCTGCCTAAGCGACCCTGGTCCTGGATCCTACACAATCGAACAATGAGTGCCTCCTCTCCACCCCAGGCCAAGCCCTATGTTAGCCATGAGCTAGACACATCACTTCTCATACTTGAAACCAGAGGTTAGACTATTACTATCCCCATTTCTTAGGAAATTGAAGCTCAGAGAGATTAAGTGACTTGCCCAAGGTGCCACAACCCATCTGCTTCCAACACTCATGCTCTTAACACCACAATGTCCTATGGCCCAGAGGGGCAGGACTGGGCCCTTACCCAGGGGGTCATCGCGAATGGTGATGCCTGCCATGTCATTTATCCGAGGGATGCTGCTGTCTATAGAGTCCACCTGTAAAGGCTTCTCAGATGCCTCCTGCTGCTGCTTCAGAATATACTTTTGGCAATCCTCCTCTGTAGGGAAGAGACAAGGTGTGGCCAGCTCCCCAAGGGTACCCCATGCCTTTACTCACAGTCAGGATCCAGCCCCGGCCCCACCTTCCTGGCTGTGTTGTGCCCCAGGGCTTCTCCAGCCCACTGGTGCCATCCACAGTTCAACAGCTCTGAAAAGGAGAGCTCCCACCTGGCTCTGGCCTTCCTAAAAGGATGTCACTGCTGTTCTGGTTATGAGAGAAGCCATCAAGGTCAGGCTTGTGCCTCTGACACATTTCCTGCCCCCACCCCACCCCACCCCTGCCTCTTAGGGCTCCTGAGAATTAAACCCAAGGTCTCCTTCTAGGATCCACTGCTGATACGAGCAGAGCATGAAAGAAGCGCTCAAGAGACCTGGTGTTTATATGCAGCAAGGGCAGCAGCCCCAACCAAACAAGGTATGCCCGTCTGTGGGCCACTGGCCCCATGCCTGTGCAAGTGTATTGTATGTCAGAAAGTGGCAGGACAGGGTGCATTTTCTAGGGGCCTGGGATTTCCAAGACTGTCAGCTTTCAGCCCCTTCCCTGCCTATTGCTCTGCTTGAAGCAGTCCCAAGCCCCCCAGAGAGGACCCGGATTCTGACTCCTGGTCCTGTGTGAGAGCTTTGGTCTTGGTGGTTTCCTTGTGCCTTTCGGGGCCTTCGCCTCCCTTCTCCAGCCCCTATCATCCCCGATATTGAAAGAGGGAACTAGTCTTGCGCGGTTTCCCCTCTGCGGTTTGTCTCCAATGTCTCCCTTGCTACCCACAAAGTACCGCGCCACCCCGCCGCCTCCAAGGAGGGACCAGTGAGGCTCAGGTCCTACACCCCCGCTCCCACGTCGGGTGTGAGGCCGGAAAGGCAGCTTCCTCACCGATGCTGGGTCCCAGCTCCATGAGCACGTCTTCGCGGCCGAGCTTGGCGAGCAGCTCGAGCAGACGGCCCACTGAGGCGCCCGGACGCCTCTGCCAGCCGTCCAGCAGCCTGCTCGTGGGGTCGGCGTACTTCTCCAGCTGCTGGATCTCCAAGTACTCGAAGTCCATCGCCTCCGCCAGCACGGTCCAGTCGGCCGCCACCGGCGCCCGCACGTTTAGGAAGAGCGACAGGCGGCGCCGCACTCGCACGTTGAGCGCTGCCAGGGGCAGGGAGGACATGGAAGGGTCCGGGAGCGCGGACCCCGCGCCGCGGACTCCTTCAGCCATGGCGGGCTACCTCGGAGCCAGCGCGCAGTCGAGTCGCGTTGTGGGCCTGCGCTTCCTCCTTCCCCTTCGGCCACCCCGCCCACCTGGTCCCGCCCCGCCGGTCTCTCTTTCCGAGAAGCACCGCCCTGCCCTACAATCAGGAGCCCCAGTAGATGTGCGGAGGCGGGGGGGGGCCCCATCACTGCCTTCGAGATCTCGGGGGGCCGGGGATGTGGGGACCCGGAACCTGCCTTTTGAGGTGTTCTGAGCTCCACCTATCTGTCCACTAGGGTCTGGCGCGGCAGTGGGACGATGACCTTACTTCCGTGTTTATAGGAGAGACGGGACTTAATCTTTGGGAGGTGGGGGAGTTACCTTCATTCCACTGGGGATCTGAGGGGTTCAGGCGGTGCTGCGCTCGAGGATGGCGGGGAGGGGGCACAGTAACATGCCTCGGTTCTGCCTCCCTCCACCCCCCCCCCGCAATTTGGGGGCGCACTCCTGCCCATAGGACTTTGGGGACTCCCTGGCTGTACACTCGGAGATGGCGGAGGGAAGGGGCATATTTGCCTTCTGGCGCCAGAGGCATGCCACAGCCATGCCCTTCAAAAGTGGGGAACACAACCCCTCCCTCCGTGTTTGAGGGTAACAGTACACCCCGGCCTTAGGTGTCTTAGAAGAAGCCCAGTACTACCCTCTGGGGTCTAGGGGAAAACATTGACATTGGGAGTCAAGCGGGCACCTAGCTTCGCTCTTTAGGGGGCAGGGGACACCTCCTGACCTGAGGAGCTTTGGTTCATTCACTCATTCAGTAGGTATTTGTTGATCACCTACTAAGTGTTAAGTGTATTTCAAGCACCTCGGATACAAAGTCTTTTCCTACCTTGGTGGAAACCCCAATCTAGTGGGGTTCATTCAGTTCAGTTCAGTCACTCAATTGTGTCTGACTCTTTGCGACCCCATGAATCGCAGCACACCAGGCCTCCCTGTCCATCACCAACTCCTGGAGTTTACTCAAACCCATGTCCATCAAGTCGGTGATGCCATCCAACCATCTCATCCTCTGTCACCCTCTTCTCCTCCTGCCCCCAATCCCTCCCAGCATCAGGGTCTTTTCCAATGAGTCAATTCTTCGCATGAGGTGGCCAAAGTACTGAAGTTTCAGCTTCAGCATCAGTCCTTCCAATGAACACCCAGGACTGATCTCCTTTAGGATGGACTGGTTGGATCTCCTTGCAGTCCAAGGGACTCTCAAGAGTCTTCTCCAACACCACAGTTCAAAAGCATCATTTTTCGGCACTCAGCTTTCTTCACAGTCCAACTCTCACATCCATACGTGACCACTGGAAAAACCGTAGCCTTGACCAGATGGACCTTTGTTGGGAAAGTAATGTCTCTGCTTTTTAATATGCTATCTAGGTTGGTCATAACTTTCCTTCCAAGGAGTAAGCGTCTTTTAATTTCATGGCTGCAATTACCATCTGCAGTGATTTTGGAGCCCAGAAAAATAAACTCTGACACTGTTTCCACTGTCTCCCCGTCTATTTCCCATGAGGTGAGGGACCGGATGCCATGATCTTAGTTTTCTGAATGTTAAGCTTTAAGCCAACTTTTTCACTCTCCTCTTTCACTTTCATCTAGTGGGGTAGGTGGGCACTAACCCCAAATTGACTGTAAAATTTGTTTTTTAAAAATGTGTATGTCTGTATATGGCTCTTTCTCCAGATAAGGGAGTCCTGTCACATCTTGGCAACTCTGTACAATCCATTCTCCTGCCACCCCAGAATCCCAAATTCCCTCAGTCTTCAGCGCGTCAAGGTAGGCTGTGGGGCACCTCGGAATTATCTCGGTCTCCCAGCCTGGGGGAGACATCAGAGAAGGTTAGGAAGGGAGAAGAGTAATAAGAGGCCCCGGCGCCTCTTTCCCAGGTAGGAAACTGTAGGCAGCGCTCCTGACAAACCCGCCATCTGTTTGGTGGCGGGCAGTGGGCAGGGTTGTAGGGAAAGGGACCCCCGGCAATGGTGAAATTTTCTTCAAGAAACGAAAGGTGCTCCTGCAAACACGCCTGGGGTTTGGCAGTAGGCGGGGCTGCAAGTGGAAAGGATTCCTGTTGGCGTTTCTGGGCGAGGCTTCAGAAAACTCCACCTCCCGGTTGGCAGGCCTAGGCTACTGTGGGCGGGGCTTTGAGTGAAAAGACCCTCTGGTGTCTAACTTTGGGAAGCTCGGCTTGCGGCTTGGGGCGGGACCTCAGGCAGGCTCGCCAACCAGAGGTTGGCTGGAGCGGGGAGATGGGCGGGACTTTTAGAGGGACAGGCCAGTCAGACCAGTAGGTCTGTGGGTGGGACTTAGATTTCGGTGGGTCAGAGGTAAGGTTCAGCGCCTGCGTGCGCCACGGTCTGTTGATTGCTGCCCTCTCTTCCTGGCTGGTTGAGGGTTTCCCTGGCCGAGCTGCGCAATGCGGAGGCTGCAGGTGGTGCTGGGTCACCTGAAGGGCCGGCCCGCTTCGGACCCGGAGCCGAAGGCCGCCCCGTGTTGGAGCGGCGCGCGGCGGGAGTCCGCAGAGGATGTCGTGGTGGTGCACGGGCGGCGCACGGCCATTGGCCGTTCGGGCCGCGGCGGCTTCAAGGTGAGGCACCTGGGCTCGAGAGTCAGGTGTGAGATGGAGGCCCGGGGTGGGCTGGGGTCTGGCTCCTCTGTTGGTTTCCCTTCGGCGTCGGTGGCGGCTCTGCGCCCGAGCTGTAACCGCTTTGTCCCTTTGGGGGAGGGCGAGACTTTGGGAGCTGGGGTCCCGACCCGGGATCCTAGTGGTCGCTCTTTCGGCTGTAGGATACCACCCCCGACGAGCTTCTCTCCGCCGTCATGACCGCGGTTCTCAAGGACGTCAAGCTGAGCCCGGCCCAGCTGGGAGATATCTGTGTGGGTGAGTGCACTACCCTGGCCCTGCGCTCGATCCTCGCCTTCCCATCCCGTCAACGGCCTCCGCAAACACCGTCCTCCATTCAGGCGCTTTCCAGGCCTCTTCAGTGAGGGGAATGGCGACGGACTGCACGCAGATAAGTGTAATCGTCTCTTAGGGCTATAGACTCCACCACCCCTCCCACCCCCGCGTCCAGGCACTTTTTGTGCCGGCTCCAAGCACATTCTTCATAATAAGTATGATGGGAAGTAGGATCGCAGGGGACAAACATTTCCACGCTAGAGTCTTGGTGCCAGGGTTTGAGAACACTCTTAAGAGACAGGAGACTGGGTTTCTCTACCCATCCTGATGTACTGTCTTTGCCAGGGTAGAACAGAAGGAGCATCGAAAAACCATCGAAGTCCAGCTTTGCAGTTGAAAATAGAGAAACTGCCTGGGGGATTTGCCGCAGAGCTTGGACCTGAATCTAGGGCCTCTTGACCTTTAGTCTAATCTTCCCCCACCTCTGCTTCCCACCTTAGCGTGGAACCTAACATTTTATAGTAAGAGTCTCATCACAGAGGTGCCACCCCTAGGTGGGGGATCACTGTTCAACCCCTGGAGTGAAGTAGGTGGATGCCACTCACGGAGGTGTGCATTTTCAGAAACACTTTCCTAACTGACAGGACTGCCTCCTTTGACTTCAAGCTTTGCACTACATTCTTCTTTCCATGTTACCTTTAAAGGCAGGTGACCTGCCCAGAGTGTGCTGATTTGGAAAAGCAGGGTGCATGGGCAGGGGGTCGTGGACCTCTCAGGGACTGGATCTAGTGTCTGACCAGGATACACTGCTGTGTAGCTGGCTCAGCCTGCTCCAGACCTTGACATTTCAGTGGTTCTGAAGGAGGATTTTGGAATGCCCCCTCTCTGGTCATCACAGCCGTACCTTAGTGCCCAGAGCACCTCCTGGCACTGACTAGAGCTTTGTTGTCCACAGGAAATGTGCTTCAGCCTGGGGCCGGAGCGGTCATGGCCCGAATCGCCCAGTTTCTGAGGTAAACTTTTCTAGTTCTTGCTCTGCGTTGGTTATTCAGACTCTTGCTTGGGCTCCGGCCCCAGAGAACTCAGCCTGCTGGTGGGAGAAGATCAGGATCTGGTGGATTCCAGACACAGCCAGGATGCTTGGCACCCTGTTTTTCTGGATGCTGCCTTTCCCCTATTTTGAAAGGAGGGTGTGTTTACTGGTGCGGATCCAGGACAAATAGCCTTTGGGCCTGGAGCAGAAAGTTTACTGTGGCCCAGTCTTTCTTAAGCCTAAATCAGCTTTTTGCTTTGGCTTTTGTAAGTGTCAACTCTGCCCTTTTGTTAGGTAAATATCCAGATTGGCTCACTGAAGAGAGACTCTGAGCTTTTGAAATGCTAGTTGAGCAAGCTGGCATCTCCAAAGCAGAGCCCATCCACAGAGACTTGGGAATGGGCCAGAACCCAGGGGTTGCCCAGAAGGTATTCGCCCTGGTGAATTGCCCTTTACCCCTTGTCCTAGGATGGGGGAGGAGCTTTAAATTATTTTCATGTGTAGATTTAAGAACCACTTAGCTCTCTAATCCCAGTTGCATGGAGAAGCAATAATAGGGACATGAACTAGTGAAGGAACAGGAAAAATGAGAAAAGATGTGGAGACTAGGAGACATTTTCAGACTGCTTACCTAGAGTTCAGAAGATTCCTTGCTCTGGCTCCAGATTTGCCTTTCAGTCTTATCTACATGCCACCCTGTCTGCCCACTTCTTTCCCTAAACTGGTCAGTCTGTCCCCATGCAGTACTGTCCCTGCCGCCCTTCTCCTCGCTGGTTAAACTCTGCCCAAACAGTGTCACCATTTTCACCAGACTTCCCTGAGCACCCAGGCTTAGCAAGAGGGCCCCTTCTTTTCCAGTCTGCTGGCTATGTGCTTCCTTTTGATGGGCTGTGCTGTCTTGCTCTGTTGCTGTAGATGCGGCTAGTTAATTCACTTTCTGTATGTGGTCAGGTGTCCTCTCGGGTGCTGTATTATAAAGCATGTCAGCATCCTTCACACTGAGTCGTTGTTTACCGAGCACTGGGTGGATTGGGTGAAGGGGCAGTAACTAAGTAGTACGGTGTTAGGGGACCTGGGAAGGGTAAACAGGCTCCAGGTGCCTAGGACATTCTCCACCCAAGAAGGTCTCAGCAAATCCTGGCCTGGACACCAGTCCAAAGGTTCCCAGCTCTGGTTACACGCTAGAATTAGCAGGGTACTTTCACCCCGAGGTTCTGAGTCCGTAGGTCTCAGGATTTGCCCAGGACTTTGTGCCCATGGCCAGCTCAGGTTACATTGGCAGAGGTGGCTCCACCAGCTTCTGGGGCTGAAACCAGTGTGAAAGCCTGGGGGAACCCACCAGAAGGAGGGATGTTGGAATACCTAGTACCTGTCAGGGTTCTTTGTCCAGCTGGGAACAGGCTTTCCACAGAGAATGGTGGGAACATAAAGGCTGAGAGTAGGGATGGTTTCTGACCTCATATTTTAGACATTCTGTTTAAATTAAAGCATAGTTGATTTACAATGTTGTATTTCTACTGTATAGCAAAATGATTCAGTTACACACACACACACACACATATATACACATACACACATTATTTTTTAAAAAATATCCTTTTCCATTATGGTTTATCACAGGATAGTGAATATAGTTGCCTGTGCTATATGGTAGGACGTTGTTGTTTATCCATTTTTATATAATAGTTTGGATCTGTCAACCCCGAACTCCCATGCCATCCTTCCCCTAATCACTGCCCCCACACAAGTCTGTTTTCTGTGAGTCCATTTCTGTTTTGTAGATGAGCTCATTTGTGTCATATTTTAGATTCCACATGTGAGTGACATCGTATATTTGGCTTTCTTTGACTTCCCTCTGTGACAGTCTCTCTCTAGGTCCATCCGTGTCGCTGCATATGGCATTATTTCATTCTTTTTATGGCCGAGTAGTATTCCGTTGTATATACCTACCACATTGTCTTTATCCACTCCTCCGTTGATGGACGTTTCCATTGCTCCTTGGCCATTGTAAATGGTGCTGCAGTGCACACTGGGATATATGTATCTTTCTGAATTGTAGTTTTGAATGGATATAGGCCCAGGAGTGGGATTGCTCAATCACATGGCAAGGCTACTTTTAGCTTTTTGAGTACCCTCCATACTGTTTTCCCTGGTGGCTGCACCAGGGTACATTCCCACGAACAATGTAGGAGGGTTCTGTTTTCTGCACGCCCTATCCAGGATTTGTTATTTGTAGACTCTTAAAATTTTAATGTTTTATTTTATATTGGAGTACAGTTGATTTACAATGTTGTGCTCGTTTCAGGTGTATATCAAAGTTATTCAGTTATACATATAAATATATTCATTCTTTTCCCGTATTACTTGAGTTAACTTCCCTGTGCTATATAGTAGGTCCTTGATGATGTTTCTATTTTATATATAGTAGTATGTATATGTTAATCCCAAACTCCTAATTTATCCCTCCCCCCACCTTTCTCCTTTGGTAACCATAAATTTGTGTTCTAAGTATGTTTCTGTTTTGTAAGTAGGTTCATTTGTATCACTTTTTTAGATTCCATATTTAAGTGATATCATATATTTGTCTTTCTCTGTCTGACTGACTTAGTATGATCATCTCTAGGTCTGTCCATGCTGCTGCAACTGGGATTATTTTGTTCTTTTTTTGTGGCTGAATAGTATTCCATCGTATATATGTACCACATCTTCACCCACTCCTCTGATAGTGGACATTTTGGTGGCCTCCATGTCTTGGCTAAATGTAAATAGTGCTGCAGTCAACATTGGAGTACATGTATGTTTTTGAGTTATGGCTTTCTCCAAATATATGCCCAGGAGTGGGATTGCCAGGTCATATGTTAGCTCTATGTTTAGTTTCTAAGAAACCACCATCCTGTTTTCCATGGTGGTTGTACCAGCTTACATTCCTGTCAACAGCGTAGGAAGGTTGCTTTTCTTCCTGTCCTCTCCAGCGTTTATTGTCTGTAGACTTTTTGATGATGGCCACTGTGACTAGTGTGAAATGATACCTCATTGTAGTAGGTTTACATTACTCTATAATGAATATTGAGGTTGAGCATCCTTTCATGTGCCTCTTGGCCATCTGTACATCTTCTCTGGAGAAATGTTTATTTAGATCTTCTGCCCATTTTTTGATTGGGTTGTTTGTTTTTTTATACTGAACGGCACAGAGCTGTTTTTGTATTTTGAAGATAAATCTGTTATTGGTCACTGCAAATATTTTCAGCCATTCTGTGGGTTATCTTTCATTTTGTTTATGGTTTCCTTTGCTGTGCAAAAGCTTTTAAGTTTAATTTGGTCTCTCTTTCTCTTTTTTTTCTTTCTTTCTTTTTTTTTTTCTTCTTTTTACTCTGGGAAGTGAATCAAAGAAAGATATTGTTGTGATCTATGTCAGAGAGTATTCTGCCTATATTTTCCTCTAAGAGTTCTGTAGCATCTGGCTTTACAATTAGGTCTTTAATCCATTTGGGTTTATTTTTGTGTATGGTGCTAAAGAGTGTTCTAATTTCATTTTTTTATTAATACATTGAGCTGTTCAGTTTTCCAAGAACCATATATTGAAGAGTCTGTCTTTTCTCCATTGTATATTCTTGCCTCCTTTGTCCTAGATTAGTTGACCATAGGTGTGTGGGTTTATCTCTGGATTTTCTACCCTATTCAATTGATTTGTATTTCTGTTTTTGTGCCAGTACCAAACTGTTTTGATTATTATAGTTTTGTAGTATAGTCTGAAGTTAGGGAGCCTGATTCCTCCAGCCCCATTTTTCTATTTTTTAAAAAAAATCATTTTGTAGCTGGTGATACACCACACGTTTATGTATTTGTTTGGCTGCACTGGGTCTTAGTTGTGGCATGTGGGATCTTTAGTTGCAGCAAGTGAACTCTCAGTCATGGCAGGCAGAATCCAGTGCCCTGACCAGGAGTCACACCTAGGACCCCTGCACTGGGTCTAGGTTCATTTTTCTTTCTCAAGATAGCTTTGGCTATTCAGGATCTTTTGTATTGTCATACAAATCGTAAATTTTTTTTTCTCATTTGTGAAAAATGCCATTGGTAATTTGATAGGGATTGCATTGAATATGTAAATTGCTTTGGGTAGTATAGTCATTTTGATAATATTGAGTCTTATAATCCCAAAACATGGTATATCTCTCTTCTGTCTGTGTTATCTTGAATTTCTTTCATCAGCATCTCATAGTCTTCTAAGTACAGTATAGGTCTTTTGCCTCCTTAGGTATTTTATTCTTTTTGATGTGATGGTAAATGGGATTATTTCCTTAATTTCTCTTTCTGATTTTTCATTGTTAGTGTATAGGAATGCAAAAGATTTCTGTGTATTAATTATGTATCCTGCAACTTTACTGATTCATTGATGAGCTCTAGTAGTTTTCCAATAGAGTCTTTAGGATTTTCTGTGTATAGTATCAAGTCATCTGCAAACAGTGATAGTTTTACTTCTTCTTTTCCAACTTGGATTCCTTTTATTTCTTTTTCTTCTGTGATTATGTGGCTAGAACTTCCAAAACTATGTTGAATAAAAGTGGCAAGAGTGAACTACTTATTGTTCCTGATCTTAGAGAAAATTCATTCAGTTTTTCCACTGTTGAGAATGATGTTAGCTGTGGGTTTGTCATATATGGCCTTTATTATGTTGAAGTAGGTTCCACCAAGCCTACTTTTTGGAGAGTTTTTATCATAAGTGGGTGTTGAATTTTCTTGATCATAGATTGTTACTGTGGTGTGTCACATTGATTGATTTGCATATATTGAAGAATCCTTTGCATCCCTGGGATAAATTCCATTTAATCGTGTATTTATGATCCTTTTAATGTGTTGGTGAATTCGGTTTGCTAGTATTTTGTTAAGGACTTCTGTGTCTGTGTTCAGCGGTGATGTTGGCTTGTAATTTTCTTTCCTTTTTTCTTTAAATATTCTCTCTCTCCAGTTTATTCTTTTTTA